GAAGAACAAATGAATTTTTCGAAAATGTCATAAATTTTTAAACACACACACTTCAAAAACAGTAATTTAATAGGCGATTATTTTTATATTTACTTCCTAAGAAATTAATTTAATCAAATTCACAAACAGATATGGGAAATACCTTACAGACGTAAGTCTACACAGAGGTACTCAAAATAAACAGCTGAGATTCCTCTACTTGTAAATGCCACGGAGAGAAGGAATGTATCGTGAATGAGCAATAATTGGATCGGTGTGAAAAGTGTAAGCATTTGGAGGTGAGCTCAGCCGCTTTCTCATTTCTTGTCCAATCAATCGTGCTTTCTCTTGAATAGGTGGATGTATGTGTGAAAGACGCCCACTTACTCAATAATCGGGACACGGTCAAGAATGGGCGTGTTGGCCAGCGGGTGGTCGAGGTTCGGGTTGTTCCTCATCGTCCACAAGATCTCTTGGAGCCACGTGGTGCCCGTCTTCAGGAAGCCCGCCACCACCACGTCCTCCTCCTTCCACTGAAGACACGACTGTGCTGCTTTTACTCTCGCATGGCATTTCATGTCAAGAGAATGCCATGCATGCTTTTCTTACCGGGTGGCTGTCTTATCTTGAATGTATTCCTGGCAGCCATGCCATATATATTGGCAGGCAATTCCGGAATACATTTTTATATAAAATAAATGCATGTACATGTTGTTAAATAAGAATCCTTAGATGCAACTCTTTTTTGATGGCATCTTTTGCATTGTATGCATGATTCTAAAGAACTAAAGAAATTACTTGTGTTATAAATCTGAATATAGACAAACATATGTAAACTATACCCATACATATATATGTACACACACACACACACAAACACACACGTGAGTGTGCTGTAATTATCACAAAAATACCCAAGTGCACTAACCCTGAAGTTGTAGATCTTGTCGGCAGTCTCCGCGAAGGCGCCCGGGAACAGCCAGTGGCCGGGGCGGAGGCGCAGCAGCCCGTCCGCCCAGGGGGTGAAGTGCCGCTCCAGTCCCTCCAGCTCTGGCTTCGGGACCTCAACCAGCTCATGTCCGCTCTCAGTCGTCGTGCCGGCCATATCCACAGAACGTCTACAGAGTATATTGAATGTTCTTCATCTTGGCAGTGTGCTCTAGGTAATAATGTGTAATTAACAAGAAGACATTTGTCTAGTCTAAAACTGAATGCACATTTCTATTAATTTACTTTGATTTGGTCCCCTCGTTTTCTCGTTACCTGTTTCGTACTCAATTTTACCATTAGTAAGCTTTTCAAAAAGTTTTTCATCGGGCTTCTACCACCGGGGTGTCCTGAATGAGTCTTATTGGGAGACGGGGGTACAGGCCGTTATTTCGTTAACATAAGAGCTTATTTCTTCCCTTATTTGTTAGAAGAGGAAAGGAATATGTCGAAGGAAAGAACCTGTAGGGGTGGGGCACCCCCACCCCTACAGGCTTTTCTATACGCCCCTGTCTATCATACATGATACACAGATCAAGTACTCATACTTGCATAACCTATCTTAACAGAGCTCTCATAAATGAAAAGTATTATATTTCTTTGCCAGTCATATTCTCTCTCTTTCCTAAACAATCATGGATACCATGCATGCGTTCGCACTCGTATGAACCGATTCTTCTTCAGTGAAGGTTGTTTCTTTAGAAATACGAATGTTCCCGATGACTATAACACCTAAAGAATTTATTGCGATATCTTCGTGCCCAGCTTATATGCTGAAATTGGAGCAATGAAATTTATAACAAATATGCGTTCATATGAGATAGGTCTATTGATCTCTCATGGATTCCCTAACATTTCTGTTAGGAAACGCTGTGCTATAGAATGACATGCTTATTTCCGCTCAGTCGAGCAAGCACAGTTCGACCTGCACAGCATACATGTATATTCTCGTCCTAGTATTGAATTGAATTTTATGGCCTGGTAAAACATAATCAAGGAGTTTGGTAAAAGAGATTTAATGTTAGAGCGAAAAAGTCTTAAAAGGGAATGCACTTGGGTACAGCACTGGTTATGTTTATACAAAATAGTTATTTGCACATCTTTATAAAATGTTTTGGGAACGTTCTCTTGTCCATCGAAAGTATTTTCCTTTTTCTTCAATGTGGCAGATTTGGAGGGGAATACAGTTATTGCAGTACACTTCCTCTGTAGATATCAATAATATTCCTTCATACCCAAATTTTGGTACTGACTGAGTAAATATCGATATGAATATTGGCACTGTCCAAAGACTAGATATCAGCACATACTATATTTTGACGATACTGAAATTGATTTTCTGTGTCATAATCAAAATACGGTTAAGAAAGATTTTCATAGGGCGATGTTATGGAATAGTTAATGGTCAAAACAAACATATGCGCCATGCATCAAAGGTCATACATCACGAGGATAAAGTATTGTGGCGAAAATATTAAATATAGGTGAACAGTTAGATAAAGGTTGTAGAGCAAAGTTGTAGTTAGTATGGTTG